TATATATATATATATATATATAATATTATTATTATAAGAATATATTATTCTTATATTCTATTTTTCTAAGAAGTCATGAATGAATGAATGAATTAATTAATTAATCTCATGTTGATTTTTTTCTTTTTTCTATCTTTTGATTCTATGTAATTAAACAGGCCAATATATCATCAGTTAAATACTTATACCTACGGTGAGTAAAATATTTATTTGATCCCCTGCTGCTTTTGCCCACTTACAAAGAAATGAAGGGTCTGTAATTTTTATGTAAGGTTTATTTTAACGTATAGAGACAGAATATCAACCAATAAATCCAGAAAAAAACACATTATATAAAGGTAAGAAATTGATTTGCATTTCAGTGAGTGAAATAAGTATTTGATCCCCAAGCAAAACATGACTCAGTACTCGGTGCAGAAACCCTTGTTGGCAAGCACAGAGCTAAGACGTTTTTTGCAGTTGGTCACCAGGGCCCGTATTCACAAAACATCTTAAGGCTAAAAGTAGCTCATAACTCGCCGATTTAGGATAAAATCTTAAAAATAATGGGCGTGTCAGTCCTAAATTTAGGACTCCTAAATTTTTGTTCTAAGAGTATTTCACAAAGCGTTTTAGCGCTAAAACTAGCTCCTAAATCTGTGAAACATTAGGAGTAGTGAAGAGGACTCCTAAGTTACTAAGACCAAATCTGAACTATTCTAAAATGGCTGTTGCCAGCAATCTGCCTCAGAATATAAACATTTTAGAAACATTTGACAATAATAAATCACGCAGTCCGTGACGGACAAATTGTTAACGGCTGGTCTATGTGTTAGTACATCAGGCAGGACATCCATATGCTCTCCTAACATTAATCGACCTAAAATATGGCTTATCATCTGAAATATATATGTAGTAGCAACTTTACATGGCAGCTCAATCGAATGTTAACCTAGAAAAAAGTGAGCTGTTCACGTGTTTGTGCGGAGTGTGGAAGCGGAACAGTAGCTTGCTTGGGCTAATTCATGAAAGATGGAGGTGCCGGTGCGATCATTTGCTTTTAAAATACTTTGTCATTTTTGGTCATACAGATAAGAGTAATGAATCTTTTGTATCTGTAAAGACTCTACGTTTATTCCTGTGCACTCAGAATAACAACGAAACATTGCGCTTTTGTAAAATAATCATAGCCAACAGAATCCGTGTATCATTCCATCATTCGTTTTTTGATTTAATATTGAAAGTATAAAAATGAGAAAACAGCTCCTTTTTCGTTTTTTTTCCAAAAAACGAAAAACAAGAATTCAGCTTAAATTTTCGTTTTTCCTTCAGGGGTAGAAAAATGAATAAACAGCTTGAATATTCGATTTCTACAGACTTCTACAGGGCGGGAATTAAACAGCCCTTTCTGCTGATTGGTCAGCCGAAGATCAAACCGTGCCATCATCAGTTTTTCTGCAGTATCACGCAGCAGAATAATAGTCCTCCACTGCTGCAGTTGTATGGATTCTTAACACATTTATTGCAACTACATTTCACCTTTTTTCATCAAACAAACAGGCTAATGAATAGCTCGACACAACTCATACCTGGGCAGAGTCTAGACAGGGCTTTCTTCTGTGTAGATATAAATTATATTCTTTGCATCAGCTGGCATGGCAGGGTATGATATGACAGCTGTCTTAGCCTACCCTGCTCACCCAGTAAATCTGTTTGTTTAATTAATCAATTAATTAATTCGTTTCAAAATAAATATTTTAAACACTAAGACAAAAAGGAAGGAATAATAAATTGGCTTGGGTATATATAGGCCTATAATGTTCACGCAAGAACTGTCATTTTGACTGACAACCAAAGAACAACAGATATTAAATAGCCTACTGCTAAGAGTTTTATAATGTAGTCTTGTGTTTTATTAAAATTGATTATAATTGATATGATATCTCAAAAGGATATGCACTTGTGCGCGGCGTGAGCTGCTGCGCACTCGCACTGCAACGCAAGATTTTCATAAAATATAATAACTTGCCATTTCGGTTTGTTTCTCACCGAACCCTCAGTATACCTTCAGAATGCTTGGAATATACGCCACGAGATGCATAGGATTATTTTACGACAGATATGCATCCGCTTCAAAACAACAAACAAAACCTAAAGTCACCGTTCTCTGCCATTAAATTGGCAAGTGCGAGCAGGACATTTTTGTGTTATTAAGTAATAAGCCTTTAGAACATCATTAAGGCGAGTAGTCACTCTAGTTCACACAGTTCCAATAAATTGCGATGGGTTAAATAAACCCAATAAGCAGACAGACTACAGTCAAGCACAGACCAGTATTGAAGTGCACAGGAAATAAGCAGCAGTCATATTTAAAGCAGTTTAAATTAATATGTACTGATTGATGTTCACTTGGATTTTTTTCCCCATCGAGGGGAAATAACAATACTCTGTCATTTATAGTCGTATGGTAAAATGTATATTTTTTAATTATGTAACGTTATACGTTCAAAATAACTACAAAATGTCATACCTTTGAAAAATAAAGAGAACAACAGAATGCGCTGCCTTATTACAGACATGAAAAATATATCTATAGAGAGTGAAACTTTTAAATGAACCAGTTCAAATAGAAAACAAATATTCTCCGATTATGTAATCCGTATGAAACATGCATACAGGCGCATACTGTGGAGATGACGAGTCAGTGTCGCCGACTTCATCTCTTAAACCAAAAACAGAAAGCACTAGTGTAACAATAACAACAGATATTAAATAGCCTACTGCTAAGAGTTTTATAATGTAGTCTTGTGTTTTATTAAAATTGATTATAATTGATATGATATCTCAAAAGGATATGCACTTGTGCGCGGCGTGAGCTGCTGCGCACTCGCACTGCAACGCAAGATTTTCATAAAATATAATAACTTGCCATTTCGGTTTGTTTCTCACCGAACCCTCAGTATACCTTCAGAATGCTTGGAATATACGCCACGAGATGCATAGGATTATTTTACGACAGATATGCATCCGCTTCAAAACAACAAACAAAACCTAAAGTCACCGTTCTCTGCCATTAAATTGGCAAGTGCGAGCAGGACATTTTTGTGTTATTAAGTAATA